CTGTAGGACACACGGAGTAGTGTTTACTTATGAAATTCTCATAGGACAATCCTTGGTCCCCTCAAAGAGTGAGCAAATACGTTGTCGCTATGGAATAAAACCAGCCCTATGCAGTTCTCAATTTTCTTCAGACTTCTTTCTAATAAGGTCCCTGATTGTGCTGTGCCATTAAAAAAAATCTATCAAGTCTCCCTTTGGCATCCCCCAAATAGGCACCACAATTAAACTGATTCAACAGATTCCCTTGGTAGCCACTGTTTGGAATCCTCCTTTTCGCTTTGAAAGTACTGTATCTTAAAGGGACTGTGTATTACTGAGAGAACTTGTCAGCAGCTAGCTGCTGACCACAGAGACATTTTAAAACAATGTATTTGGAATCCGCCTATGAATGTATGAACTGGAGCCCTAGGAGCAAAACGTTTGGTCTTCACTTCATACGAATTATTCAAACACACTGCAATTGTTAGCTGGAGACTGAAGCCATCGCTACCTTACAGCTCTGTCTGCCATGGCGACCCTGTAGAACAAAGCAAAACTGCACACAGAGCTTCCATGACTGTCGACCTGTACCGAAGCAGACTGCCACGTCTTCCTCCCACGAGGTTCCAGGTGCATCCAGAACATAGACTTTGGGTTAGCTGCCCATCACTGTAACCAGGATGCCACCAAGACTCCTTCTCTTATCAGCAACAGAACCCACTTTAGCTAGCTCGATCAGAAGATGTGTATTAAAAGCTAATACAGATGATCTGGCAATATCTGAGCACCACGCTGGGTTACTACACATACATAGATGGGTCTGAGAACAAAAACATCATCGTGGAATGCCGATTCTTTCTGTGGGAGAGTGCTGCCAGAGTTGTCTGCTTTCATTACTGCCTTGCCCAGTGATCCAGTCTCCCTGCCCGCCGATAGCCCTCATATTCATATGGCTCACGTTTGCCTCCCAGTGCAACGCACTAGCAGAAAGTCGGTCATCTACAAGCATTCTGACTGGGAAAGGTCTCTACAGGATGGCAGATCAGCAATGGTAAGAATGGATAGAGAATACTCATCCATAGGACCTGCCAAACGAGGTAAAGGGAATATAGAAAGCCAAGAAATCCTGAAGAAGGTAAAAGCCAAACCAGACTACATTGGCATAAACCATGTGAGTAGAACCGCATCTTGTCATGGGATCCCATCCTTCTTACTTAGAAACATAAGCCTCGTCGCGTGGTCCTATAGGATGCACGATGAGTCTTGGCGCATGCTCAATTCGTGCGTGCCTTCGTTTCTACAGCTGAAATTCTTTGCAGTAATATAGAATTCATAACGCTTAGAACTGTTATTTGAATTAAATGAGACACCACAAACTTATTCAGGTAGCATAGGAGAAGATGTTTTAACTTGTGTTTCTTGTACCTGAAAGACAGAGTTCATGGATGTTTATAAGAAAAAAACGAGGATCTGAAACAAAGGATATGCCCATTGATTTTCCTTTCCTTCTCTATAGAAGTCAGCACCACAAAGGAAATGAGGAGCAGAAATTATGGTAGCACATCGATCTTCGACTCACATGTCAATACAATCTAATTTCATGTCTACCTGATGGAACTACATTTCGATAGAGAAAGATAAAAGGCAAGTACAGATATCACACAGCAAATAGAATAAGAATAACCTGTTGTAGAAACTGCCCGGTTAAATGGCTCCCAAACTCTTTGCAATTGTATTCCATGCTCACAAAAGCAGAAGCTCTCTGGAACCAGACTATTAATATTATTATTATTTGATATCCACTTTATTGAGGTAGAAAGGAGCTCTGGGGGTGTAGTGGTTACACACTGAGCTGTTAACCACAAGGTTGGTAGTTTGAAACCACCAGCTGGTCCTCAAGAGAAAGATGCAGCTTTACCTCCTGCAGTCCTACCCTGTGGGAATTGAGTCCATGGCAGTGAGGTGCTTTCTGCTTCTGTTGCTAGTTATATTGAGGTATAATTTACATGCAAGAAAATCACCAATTTTAAGGGAGAAATTCCAAAAGTTTTGACAAATAACTACAATTACTGCCATCTTTACATACATCAAAATGTTCCCAAATGCCTTTAAAATTATTTATTTATTTTTAAATCATTTTATTGGGGGCTCGTACAACTCTTATCACAATCCATCCATCCATCCATCCATTGTGTCAAGCACATTTGTATATTTGTTGCCATCATCATTCTCAAAACATTTGCTTTCTACTTGAGCCTTTGTTATCAGCTCATTTTTCCCCTCCCTCCTTGCTCCCTCCTCCCTCATGAACCCTTGCTAATTTATAAATTATTATTTTGTCATGTCTTACACAGTCCAACGTCTCCCTTCACCCACTTTTCTGTTGTCAGTCCCCCAGGGAGGAGGCTATATGTATATCCCTGTAATCAGTTCCTCCTTTCCACCCCACCTTCCCTCCACTCTCCACTCAATCCTCTCTCCTATCCCCAGAGTTCTGGACCACCAATTGTCCATTTTTGTCACACTAGTTTTGCCTTTTCTAAACAAGCCAAAACATACAATATGCAGTGTTTTCTGTCTGATGTTTTTAATTAATGGGGCAGTGGCATTCATTGGTAGGATTCGTACGTTCCAGGCAAGAGAACCAAGCTTGATTCCTAGCAAATGCACCTCATACGCAGCCACCACCATCTTCCCTGTGGAAGCATGTGTGTTGTTGCGATACTCAGCAGATTTCAACAGAACCTCCACACTAAGGTAGACTAGCAATAAATGCCTGGCTATCTACTTCTGAACAGCAGCTGATTAAAACCCTACCGATCCCAATTAATCAGATATGCAATAGCACAGGATCCAGCACCATTTCATTCCATTGTGCATGGGGCCACCTTGAATCGGGGCCCCAAATAAAGATCCTTCTAAGATACTTTCCCCCATAATCATGGCCCCTTCTTACCCAAATTTAACACTACAGATATACTCTTTATCTGTTTATGTATTATATATATCAGCACTTTATATTTAAAAAGAGTAGGTTTTTTTTAACTACTCAAGAACGATTTTTTAAATCCCTTTGGGGATGATAATGTTGCAGTGAGAATATTATTTCCCTGGTGATTTAGTATACTATTGTCCAAATGATTCCATATAATGCTTTCAAGAGTCAACAATATTGTTATTTGTATTAAGGATGGATTAATTTTTATTGTTTGATAGTATTCCATCCTATCAATGTCCATAGTGTATCCATTTAGCATGTTGTGGTTGTTTCCTGGTTTGGGCAACTTTAAGTAAAGCTGCTGTTTTCAGCTGGGTTCTCTAGAGAAGCGAAACCAGGGATGCTACTGGTCCTCTAAACTTGTTCTTGCATTTTCAAAAATAATTTGCTTATTTAAATCCCTTTGCATTCTCATATAATTTTTATAAGTTTGATATTCTCTACCAAGTGGTCTGATAGAATTTGGGGGGTTGCATTGAATCTACAGCTCAAATCTGTGGATAACTGATATTAAACAGTATTAAGATATCAAAGGTGTTCATCCTTTCCCTTAAATTCCGGTTGCTAGGGACTCTAGATTCAACTGCGCATAGACACCTGGGAGTCAGAGAAGCCTAGTCTTAGAGAACAATGCAACTGAGTGCAATGGGACGGTAACAAGCAACTTGGATATAGAGGGTACCTATGGGACGTCCGAACAAATTCAAAGGATTAAGTAATCTTTGTACTTGAAGGCTCAACTATTTACAAGGGTGTGGCCAGGGGAAACTTGAACGAAATCCAGGAGTGAGAAGATCTATTAATAGGAACCCTTCCTAGGTCAAAATGTAAGGAGTAATATGAATAAGGTCAATCTCCTAGAAAGTGAGTTGGAAGTTACCAAGTGCATTCCAGAAAACGTAACTACAGATCAGACCTTTTAGCCAACATGCAGAGGCAGAACTAAGAAGAAAGAAGCAATCTCGTCCATCACAGAGCTGAGGTCTAATCGAAAAGAATTCCAGTCAAGAGATGAATAAAACTGACATAAATAAAATAAAAATGAAATAATAAATGGAAAAATTACCAAGATGTTATGATCATTAAATAATGAGTGTAGAATCACATATCTACTCTTCTGCGTCAAAGTTTACCCTTCAGTTTCAGTAAATAGAGTCTGACTGCATAATTTGCCAAGGTAAATATTTTGGAGTAATCAAGACACTTCCCTTTCCTGAATTCTCATTCCGATGTGAAGCCCACTTCTGTGTAATTTCTTGAATCTGGTCTCAAAGGAACCAAATTTGCCACTATAATTCGGATCAAGCTATTTCTCTGATGACCCACTAAGGGTGTAAATCCTTGGGGGTTGGGGTGGGGCCAGTGAGTGGATGTGGTAGTCACTGAAGGGATTTAAATAGAAAGGTGATAGGACCTGATTAGTGTAGGACCAGGAGAAGACCTTACCTAAAGCCACACTGATAAATGACTGAGTATACTAAGATGGTCAAATATATCTTCCTTTTAAAAGGTTGCTGCTGCCTTAACTTAATTTTCTGACAAACTCATTAGTATCCTAAATGAATTTTGCATGCACGTTCTTAGGTCATTTTTTCCCAGTGAGCTGGGATGAACTAGGGAATTATAATCATACCTAAAAGAAAAGAAACTGTTTTGTGTACTTGATGTAGCTACCCACCTTCCCAACTATTCCACAAACTTTCCCCATAGTTACTTCAGCACTAGAATCCATGTTTCAGTTTCTGATGATCGACCGTTCTCCGGAAGTTTGATGCAACATGTTTTGTCTATGTACATATGTGTATGGTTCTGTCGATGCTTCAAAGGGTCTTTATCCAATCCAGGCTATACAAACATGTGTAGGAGATCATCTTAATTCTTAAAGAGCTTCGTGTGTATGACGTAAACAAATAAATGACCGGGTCACACTATCCGTGAATTGTCCAAAGTTTCTGTGCACAAAGCTCGGTGGAAATTTGTCAGTTACTCTGGTGCTTGGTGTCTTCCAGGTGATTCCAGAAGCATGAGCAACTCCAGTGTTGCTGGGACCCACAATGATTCCCGGGACGGCACGTGCAATTCAATATTTACCCCCTGTTTCATACAACTCTACTGCGCAGTGCTCGCGGGAGGACTCCTGGGAGTCATCTCCATTTTGTTCCTGTTGGTGAAAATGAACACCAGATCGGTGACAACCACAGCTGTGGTCAACCTGGTGGTGGTCCACAGTGTCTTCCTCCTGACGGTGCCTTTTCGCTTGATCTACCTTATCCGGCGGCTTTGGACCTTCGGCTTGCCGTTCTGTAAATTCGTGAGTTCCATGCTGCACATCCACATGTACCTCACGTTCCTGTTCTACGTGGTGATTCTGATCATCAGGTACCTCATCTTCTTTAAGCGCAAAGACAAAGTAGAATTCTACAGAAAACTGCATGCTGTGGCCGCTAGCACCGCCATGTGGCTGCTAGTGGTTGTCATTGTCGTGCCTCTGGTTGCTTCTCAATATGGGGGTGTGAATAGCTATGATGAAAACCATTGTTTTACATTCAACAAAGAACTTTCTGAAAACTATGTGCAAATCATCAACTACGCCATAATCTTTGTGGTCATAGCCACTGCCATCACCCTCTTGGGCATCCAGGTCTTCATCATCATGTCGATGGTGCGGAAGACAAGCCACTCCTTGCTATCCCACCAAGAGTTCTGGGCCCAATTGAAAAACCTCCTTTTTATCGGCGTCATCTTTATTTGCTTCCTTCCCTATCAGTTTTACAGGATCTATTACTTACAAGTTGTGACAAAATTCAGTGGCTGTGGCAGTAATGCTACATTTTATAATGAACTCTTCTTAAATATTACAGCCATTAGCTGTTGTGATTTGTTGCTCTTCGTTTTGGGCGGAAGTCACTGGTTTAAGCAAAAGATTATTAGCCTATGGAATTGTCTTTTGTGCCATTAGCCAAAAACCCGTGGTGTGCATAGTTACTTCCTTTATATGAGAGGCGGAAATGAAGACGGGGTAGTCAGACATGGTTATTTCAAGACTCGATCAAGACCATGCCTTCATGCAGCCGAACCAATGTTCCACTTGACTAACTGCATAAGAAAGCCCACTTAATTTGTTCCCCTGCAGAGAGAGAGGGAGAAGGAAAATAATAATTATCACAGATATCATGGAAAATCACTTATCTAGAAGTGATTCAATAGAAACAGAAGTCATGGCCTTTTATCATAGCAATATTTACTATGGTTGTTCTTTGAAAGGTTAAATTTATATATATGAGACTTGATTTTCTCAGTATTACCAATTGTATTATTTAGTTAAAAAATCATCTATTTGAATGATGGTGAAGATGTGATTCCCCAAGGGAAATGATTATTTTTTTTCCCTTTTCTGTTGTCTGGGAAAAATTTTAGATTCCCTGGGTTATAGCTAATTTAGGTGTCCCTTGGAAATAGAATTTTATTAAAAACCCATATAATTACATTTAACCCTTAAAATGATATGTTGTTAAATAAATTAAAATAACATTAATTCTTTACATATATATATAGCAGATTCATTAATTTGACTACTAATTGGCTGTATGTAAAAGTTCATCTGTGAGTACTTGAGCAATGGATGAAAAATATACTTGAAAGCCATAAAATTATAATCTTTTTAATGTGACATAACTTAGATTTCCTTGCCAAGTTCTGAGAAGCTCTCTTTTTCTTTCAATATTTGTTTCATAGCTTGTGACATTTGAATTGTTACACAGTGATTTTCTCCCCCATGTATTTCTAGTAATGACTGTTGATATTCAGGCTCTCCGTACTCTGTACGTTCTTTTTTCCCTCAAAGTTTGAACTTTGTTGCATTTGAAGTTTTTCAAAAGACTGATCCAAATTCATGTTTAATATTCCAGCAAACCTAAAGCTTTTCATGGTGAATTAAAGAACTGAATAAAGAAAGGGAATTTTTAAAGTTTTCTTCATCTGGGCAAATCTGAAGTATATAAAGGGTGTTCTAAATCATTTGATGAGTCTATCAGTTCATCAGATAAATAAGAAATTCCCTGTGAGTTTCTATGTTTATTAAAATAACTGAGTGAAAGAAGCTAAATTGGAGGAAGGTAAAGCAGCATTATATTTAAATTAAAAAAATGCCACCAAGTCAATTCTGACTCATAATACCTGTATTCAGGGTTTCCAAGGCTGTCAGTATTTACAGGAGCAGGTGGGTTTGAACTAACAACCTTTCAGTTAGCAGGCCAACACTTACCCAACAGTGCTCCCAGAGCTCAGAGATGACTTATTCCCCAATTTTTTCCCACTTCTAATAATTTTATTTGTTATAACTTTATTCTTTTTGTTTTATTTTTAAAATTATTTTATACTTCCTGTATTTCTCATTTGTCATCTTCTCACATTTATTTTCTTATTATTTTTCTTAGACCCATAACTTTTTAAAAAGAAAAACAATGGATGATAGTAAGCTACTTAATTTTAAAAAATTATTTGCATGAATTTCATCAGTGTTCTCTTTTATTTATTTGCTATCATAGTAAGTTTTAGATTGTAGATTCCATTACAATCTTTTCCAGATTTCAGTTATGCTTCATGAAGTAATTTTACTTTTTTCTGTATTATAATAGATCATAATAATGTGTCTACTCCTTGAGTCAGGAAGGAATATTATTCAGAATATAAAAATTAAATATTCCATAGTGTAAAATACCCAATTCTTTAGTAAATACAGAATAGACACCTAGACATTTCAGTTTGTCTGTTATTTGTCCATAATTGATAAGTAAATGAGCCTTGACTGGGAATGAGAGTGACATGGTCTCTGGGGTCATTTTGGGTATCACAATGACAAGACAATACTAGTAGCATTGGGTGCTGGGAGCCAGAGTCTTTGAGGCTAAGAGTAGATAGAAAGGCCTGAAGAAAACTTATGGAGCAACAAAATATTGTCTGATAGCCTACTAAAAGATGAATCTCATAAGCTGGAAGGCACTCAAAACGCATAGCACTCAATAGCTGCAATTGCCCCTGAATATACATAGTCCTCTATGAAAAAATATTTCTACAAAATCTTAGAAAGTGTTATTAGCAAGATGGCACTACACAGATACTTCACAATAAAGAGAGATAGGGGAAGAAAAACCTGAAGAGAAAAAAATAGGTGAAAAAACGTGGAGCTTTTAGATACTGGGGAAAAGACAGAGACGTGAACGGAATACTACACCCAGAGGAGAAGCAGGCCAGTGGTTTATCCATATGCACCTGTAAGCTCCCCACCCCCACCCTAAAATAAGAGCTCCCCCTCCAGCCCAGGGCACTCCCCAACTGCTGATGAGAAAGGTGATACGTGGCCTTGCTCCCAACACTCTCCTGGTAAGAGAAGTGTGACCAGTCACTGGCCTCACACACTTAGTGATCACCACTACCCCTTCCCCCTCACCCCAACCCTGTACATCACTAAGGCTATAGAATAGAGTCTGAGAAGCAAAACAGAGTAGCTGAGAGTGAACTGATATGAGGTATGCATTGAAACCCACCATGCAAACGCATACCTATTGTATCCAGTGGCTGGCATCAGGGGTCCAGAATCACCTCTTGTTCCCCACAACTCTCAGGAAACCAGGGGAGGGGTTAAGCCCTACTTTGCATTCTCAGAAGTGGCTGGGTATATATACTAAAGAAGGGAGCCCTGAAAAGGAAATTAAAAGGAAAATACTATTTATAATAACCACACAAAAGATGAAATGCTTAGCAATAAACCCTGCTTGATACTAGTACTCATAAAGTGATCAATGAAGTTATGAGTGCATAGCAAAGTGTGGTGAAGAAATCACATGGTGGCTGGTTATCTGGACGAATAGTGATTGGGATCTCGAAGGCTCGTATTAATCAGCAACCATCTAATTGAGATTTCAGCTAAGTCCACAGAGACGAAGCACACCAGCTTGTGTGATCAAAGCAATCAGAGGGAAGAACTATATTAGAGTTTAAATTCTGAGCGCTCCATTTGCAGAAGGATATGACAGTAAAAGTCCCACATCCATTTGCAGAGTCCCAACTTAAACCAAGTCTTCTTTGAACTCCCATCAGAAGGACCCGCTGTGGAAACCCCACTAAGTTAACTGGACTTCACCTTGAACATACCTGCCCCCTATAGTTGGGAGAGATCCAGATGTCCCTCCGAAAGAAATATCTTGTCCCCACACCCTCAACTACAAAATTCTGCTTTGCATTAAAATTCTTTCTATTATACATTTATACCCTAATCATTGTTTTCTAAAATTAATTTTCTGCCACCTTTTCCATCAGCTGAAATTGTAGGGTAATCTAAAAGCTTATTACTTCATTTTTAACCTCCATTTAATGTAAACCATGTACTTTTAATTTTATAGATGGTTCAATGTTGACCTTTTTTCCCCTGTAAAATTCATGGAAAATGAAATTAAAAGATGATGGGAAGTCTCCAACAATTTTGTGAAGCCCCTTTGTATTAAAAAAAAACTTTCCTCAGCCTCATTCAAAGAATTCCTTGACAGATCAGCCAAGTCTTCATTTTCTATATTAATTGTTAGTGGCCTGTCCTCAGAAACTCTTTATTACTTGATGACGAAATTCTGCACTGCCACCGAGTAAATCCTGATTTATAGCAACCCTATAGGAGAAGTAGAACTGTCTCTATGGGTTTCTTTGGGTTTCCAGGAGCAGAAAACATTATCCTTCTCTTGTGGGGCAACTAGTGGGTTCAAACTGTTGGTCTTGCAGTTAGCAACCCACAGCTTCTTGCACAGCACCACTAGGATGCCTTATGAAAGTGATCAGGATCAGTAAGTCCACTAGACTACCAGGGCTCCCATCTGTTAGAGGCATCACATAAATATTAAGTTACGTCATTTGATGATAAGTCCCAAGCTTCAAGAGCCTGAGGGCAGTCGAAAAAGTGTGTGGATCAGCGAACTCCCAACTAATTTCCCTGCAGTCACTTCTGACTCATGACACCCTATACAGGCTAGAGTAGAATTACGTTCCATGAGCTCTCCAATGCCTGAGATCTTTCAGGAGTAAGTCATCAGGCCTTTCTTCTGAGGCATTTCTGAGTGGACTCAACCCTCACTTTTCAGTTAGCATCTCAGCACATTAACCATTTGCACTACCCAGGGATCTCATGAAAATTGTCAATGAGTAAAGTGACCAATCCTATGTGCTTGGAAGGCCTTTGGGATGAATATGCTGCTATCCTTGTAGGAAAATCATCTCCACCTAATGTCAATTACCTTTCAAGTAACCTACCTGTCTACCAATGTCAGGTGCTGACCCATAATTTAGTTCTTACTAATTCAGGGAAATGAGGAAAATAGCAATATATAGCAATAGCAATATAGTGAGTTTTTCATAAAGCAAAACCATTGATGCTATATTTGAAATGCATATTTTAAAAAGCAATGTGCCATATCATTGAATAATAGATATAAAACAAAACTAATAATATGATATCATTAATATATCTCCAGGGTTATGGTTATGCTAAGAATCACACTGTGATAAGAATGTTCTTGATATTATTGGGCAGCTTCCAGCCCTTGGTTTAGCTGGCCTTTGGTCAATCTTGACATATGATTAAGGCAAACATGGCTATTAATCTGCTGCTGCTACCAGTAGCATCATTGATATTTTGTCCTTACTTCCCCAACTTAAAGAGAGAGCTTTTTATTTAAGATGAAAATTTGTTGTAAACATTCAAACACTCAACACACATCAAACTGTTCTGTAAGTAGTAACTTGTGACACATTTTAAAAAATGAATCCAGTAGCTTATGGAATTACCAATGCTAAACATGTCAAAGCAAAGTTGATTCCAGAGGATTTGCTGAATATTTTCCAAAACACTTGACAGAGAATTTTTTTTTGTTTCAGTGCTGGGAATAATGCTGCAGTTAAATTCACAGAAAGACATGATTTGCATAGTGTTCATCTTGTAGGGAAAGTCATACAGAGTTATCTGAAAT